GGATAAGCTCCTCGAATGTTCGGGTCCGGCAAATCTAAGTATGGTAAGAGAGTTATATGCGAACTGGAACGAGAAAAATGACGAGTCGTGGGTCAGAGGAAAGGAAATTCCAATGGATAGGGAAGCCTTGTGTCATTTTTTGGGAGTTCATAGCCCTAACCAACGAAGGCTTCGAAAGTTTGTCAAAAGTCCACGCTACCAAGCAATACGTCACACACTTTGTGGCACTGATTCTAATGCAAAGTGGACGCGAACTAAGGGAAATATTCACCTTAAAATGCTCCGGTTCGACTTCAACAAAACGGCCAAGGTCTGGCAAAACTTTGTGCAAGCTAGATTAATGCCTGTTGAGCATAATAGTGAGTGCACTCGAGCTCGAGTGTGCATGATCTACTTTTTGATGACCGGGTGCCCCATAAATGTGGGTGAGCTCATGCTTGGGGAGATGAACCGCACCCGTTTTGGAGGAAGGATCAAAAGGTTTTTTTTGGCAACATCCTGACACAGTACGTGCTCTCTCGTGGGGTACCAGAGTACCCTGGCTATGATGAGGTAGTGGAGGCACCCACTGAATTGTTAGACATCACATCCATGCTAGAGTACACATCCAAGCTCACCCAAGCTGCTAGGAATGAGAGGGACGAAAATATCAACAGGTATCTTTACAAATCCCTCAATATTATTATGAGAAGGCTAGGGGTGTTTGATGAGGAGCGCATGCGATTGTGAAGTGATCTCTCCAGTTCTTCAAAGGAGATGTTGGGCATAACACTAGGCAGTCCCGTTCATCTGTCTGAGAATGAAAACACTGACAAGGAATCTGATAATGAGGATGTGGATGATGATGAAGTTATGGGACCAATGGCTTTGGTACCCTTCGGAGATGATGATGAGCCAATTGTCGTAGCTGGTTGGCATCCTGATGAGGTAGACTCCGACTAGCAGGGAGTTCTTTCTTTCCACCTTACTTTATTTTTGAATTTATTATGCATCGGGGACCATGCATTGTTTAAGTGTGGGGTGGGGGAATACTCCTTGAAATGTATAATTTTGTTTTTTTTAGTGTTATTGTTTTTTTTTTTGTTTTTTTTTGTTTTTTTCTTTTATCACCTTTTAGATTAGTTTAAGACTAACATAGTCTAATTAGCTACATTACATAAAAAAAAACTTAGACTTTTCCCGACGATGGATCTGTTGGGCAATTATTTTGAGGGATTAAAGTCCGATTAAATTTCAAAAAGATTTTTTTTTGTTTTTTTGATAGTTAGGTATTATCCCTTGGTTTTTCTTTGGAAGCCGGTTCTTTTCCAAGGGTGTAGCTCGAACGGGCATTTTTTTTTTGGAGTAGGATAAGGGAGAAAACTGAGGTGCTTGGAGATACCTTTTGACATGTTTGGTGTTGGCAAGTTAAGTTAGGGCATGCGCTCTGTCTTCCTGCATATATGATTTGAATTGTAATGCCCAAGTAGATTAAGTAGCCTACTCTTTGACACCTTTTTCTTAGTTGATTGACTTGTATTCCACCTAGTGCAATGTTGCTTACAAATTCTCAGCTTGATATGCTTGCTTGACCTGAGAGTCACACAAAACCGTTTTGAGTGAGTCAAGTGCCATGTGTGTGTAAGGATTATTGATATTCTGTGCTATCCTGTGTAGTCTAGAACTTGCTTCGTGTGTTAATCAATGCGAAATCATTAAGTTGTGCTAATTTAGGAGATGACGTAGGCATTTCTTGCTTGACCATAAAGGTGCTTGTCACTGGCAAATAGAATTTTCCCATTGCTAGCCTCTTTGAACCTATAGACCATTTCCTTGGCACCCACATTACAAGCCGTACTCCTACTTTGTTCTTAATCTGAGATTGTTGAACCTTTACCTCCTAAGGCACTTAGTCGCTAGAAGAAGTAAGGTTAGATATTGGGAAGTGTCTTTCGAGTGGAACCATAGAAGGGCCCTTAAGGTGCACTAAAATTGTGAATAAAGGTCACTAGCTTATGAACTTCAACGTATGGAGTGTGTGAAAAAACAAAAAAAAGAGGAAAATTTTTGCAAGAAAAAGCAAACAAAAGTTCAAATAATGTAGAAAGACACACCTCCTAATCCTTCTCACTCGTGCTAGTGAAACCATAAAGGTGCTTTATGAAAAGAGGGCTATGTTAGTTATGGTGTATGACAAGTGAATGGGTTGAGAAGAAAATGCGCTTGAATTGTGAGTGTAGTGTATTAAAGTGCTTAGGAGGGTTAGTCATTATTCCTAAATGTATCCTACCCGTCTCTTAGCCTACATTACAACTTTAAAGTCCTAATTGATCCTAGATTTAGCTAGCTTAGATTAGTAGAGATGTACACTACGGGCAAGCTTATGGTATGACTACGGGATGCATATGAATCCTTTGTGAGAGTGAGTGAATGTTGTTCAATTGTGTGATGTCCTTAATTTATGTTCAATGACATATTTTAATTTGTGGACTACTTTGATATTCACTCGTTTGCTTGTGGTGAGGTTACTTGATCTCATGACGGATTGGTGATGTTGTACACTTTCTTGTGTTAGGTGAGTGCGTGAGTTGAATATGCTTAGTGGTAACGAGTCATATCTTGAGGTAAGGTGATTGTGGAGAGGTTGCTTGAGTTGATTGAGTTGATTGAATAACATTGTATATACTTGGGCTATTTAAAAACGGGAAAAATGTGAAATTTGTGTGTTCATGCTTAATTGCCGACATTGATTATAGTCAAAAGGTAGGGTGATTTGATTGAGTTAATTATGAAGTCCTCTTTCATAAGTGCTAAGTACGTTTTTGGGGTGTTAATATAGTTCCATTGCTCGAGGGCGAGCAAAAGTCTAAGTGTGGGGGTGTTGATAATCGGCTTAATGTATGCATATTTTGATATATATCTCCTCATATTTTGCTCATGTCTCGACGATTTGAGATGTTTAATATGATTATCTATGCTAAATTTTGGTATTTCTATGTGTAGGGATCATTCGGATGCAATTTGGGACGAAAGGGGGCGAATTGGAGCGAAATCGGGACAAAAAGGCAAAAAATAAATTTGAGGGTCACAGCCAGCGTGGGCGCAATTTACAGCAGCTAATATTTTTGAGCCCCAAGGTCAGCGCTCCATGCTTCCCTGGACGCTCAAGACGGGAAAGTAGCCATTTTCGACTAGGACTCGGTTATTTCAACCCCTAGATGCCCCCCCAACTCATATAAAAACCAACCTAAACCTATTTTGAGAGGGGAACGTGACTTAGAGAGAAGAGGGAGGCGCCAAACACTCGGAATCAAGGATTTGATCAATTCTTCCATCCCTTTCCTAGTACTCATTGATTTTATGTTTGAAAACTTAATTTTGATGATTGTATGAACATGCCCTGGACGCTCAAGACGGGAAAGTAGCCTTTTTCGACTAGGACTCGGTTATTTCGACCCCTAGATGCCCCCAATTCATATAAAAGCCAACCTAAACCTATTTTTGAGGGGGGAACGTGACTTAGAGAGAAGAGGGAGGCGCCAAATACTCGGAAGCAAGGATTTGATCAATTCTTCCATCCCTTTCCTAGTATTCATTGATTTTATGTTTGAAAACTTTATTTTTGATGATTGTGTGAACATGAGTGGCTAAGAACCCAATTGTTCTAGGGTCATAGGTGATACATGAATGTTGATGTTTGAAGTTTAATTTGACGAAGTTGATTTTATCATATTGGGTTGTTTATTTAATTATGTTCTTAATTATTTTGCTGAATAGCTAATAGTGAAATACTATATACGAATCTAGAGTTGAACTCGAAAGTGAGAATTCTAGATTGCATATAGAATTAAATAGAGCAGGTTCTTGAACCCGAGCATCGGGGAACAGATTCGCAATTAGGATAGACATATAACTAATTGCCTTGCTTGGTTGAAATACAGGAAGTGTAAATGCATTCTTGTTAATCTTAATTCCATACACATGTAGGCATTAAGTTAGCTTGAATAGGCGAGTAAGAACTCGACAGAATCTTATGAGTAATATCAACCCTGTAAATCAACAATTAGATAAATCAATTAGTCATTTTAAACCAAGAACGCAACACGATTGTTAGCTAACCCGTGACCCTGAAATATTATCTCCTATTGATTGTTATTCGAAATTGTTTAAGTGTTGTGGTTAATTTCTAGTATTTCATTACTTGATAGATTTTAGGTAGTAAATTAGGAAATTATCTATTTTGTGAGAAATCGCTTGAATCGATAAGTTATTTGAGTTTGAATTAGTCAAAAGTTAATCATAAGTCTTCGTGGGAATGATACTCTACTCACTACTCTATTACTTGACGACCACGTATACTTGCGTGAGTGTGTTTGGTCGCAACAGAGAGCACAAAGAGGAACAAATTGCAGAATTTTTATTCATCTTATGCAAAAATAACTACTTGACTTCTGAAGGTTCTAGAGTATATATTTATATACAAGGGTAAAAGTGTAAAGAACTAATGTTAATATGTGAGCCGACCCGGCGGAGTATGGTCTACTAAGCCCAATACAAATAAATACACTTCAGATTTCTGCATAGTCTATGTAACGCCAGTACCCCCTTAAGTTAGAGGGTGGGCACACACCCAACTTGACAGCCAAAGAATGATGAACCCCATCTGTCAAACACTTGGTAAAAATATCAGCCAACTGGGAAGTAGTAGAAACATGATGTAAAGAGATCAAACCATCAGCTAACTTGGTCTGGATAAAATGACAATCAACATCTATATGTTTGGCGCGCTCGTGGAAAACATGATTCTTGGCTATGTGAATGGCATCTTGATTGTCATAGAAATTCTTGGCTATGTGAATGGCATCTTGGTTGTCATAGAAAACAGGGAGATGAGTAGAGGCTTGCAAGCCCAGGTCGGACAACAAACGGACCAGCCAAGACAACTCAGCAACAACTTTGCTCATGGCCCTATATTCAGTCTCATTAGAGGATAACGAGACCACCTGCTATATCTTGGACTTTCAACTAATAAGACTACCACCCAGGAACACACAAAAACCACTAACACAACGGCGAGAATCAGGGCATGCAGCCCAATCACTATCACAGTATCCAACCAAAGAACAATCAGCAGAATCATTAAGAAAGATACCAACATCAGAAGTCCCCTTTAAGTAGCGTAAGACATGTAAAGCAACAGCCATGTGAGGGACTCTAGGTGTTTGGAGAAACTGACTAAGGTGTTGGACAACAAAGCAAATGTCAGGGCGAGTGTGGGTAAGAAAGTTAAGTTTTCCTATGAGGCTACGATATGTGTCAGGTCTGGGCAGAGGGTCACCAACATCAGAGTGCAAATTAACATTCAAATCCAATGGGCATACAACAAAACAGACAGCAGAACTGTCAAAATCAACAAGCAAATCAGTAATGAACTTTTGTTGATGCAACAAAGCACCAGAAGAATGATAATGAATCTGAATACCCAAGAAATAATGGAGAAGCCTGAGATCCTTTATTCAAAATTGGTCATCCAGAAAACTTTTCAAGGCAGCAATTTCAAGCATATCATCCCCTGTTAGAGTGATATCATCTACATATACAGCAAGAAACACAGTAGACTGAGGTGATTTCTTCATAAATAGGGAGTAATCATTTAAATAATGGCTATAACCTCTAGAGCAAAGGGCATGGAACAATTTAGCATACCATTGGCGAGAAACCTATCATAAACCATACAAAGATTTATGCATCTTACACACCAAAGTATGAACATGAGATTCAGAAGCAATAGGCAACCCTTGGGGGAGTTTCATGCACACTTCTTCATCCAAATCACATGCAATAAGCATTATTGACATCCAATTGGAACAAAGACCATTTCTGTTTAACTGCATAATCTATAAGACATCTAATAGTACACATTTTGACTACATGAGAAAATATTTCATGAAAGTCAATACCCTCTATTTGTGTATTTTTCCTTTACGATTAGCCTAGCTTGTATCTTTCTACACTACCATCATCTTTATATTTGATTTTGTACACCCATTTACAACCAATTGGCTTTTTACCTTTAGGTAGTTCCACAATATCCCAAGTCCCATTTGCTTCCAATGCCTCAAACTCTTTCCTTATGGCTTCCTGCCAAGCTTGATTGGCAACAGCCTGAGCATAAGAGTGAGGCTCAACTGCTGCATGTTGAGCAACAAAAGTGGAGGTAGTAAAGGAGCAGGAAATAGAAGGGGGAAGTTGAACCTCATAGTTTTGAAGATGAGAAGAGAGGTGATGACTTATAGCAGACTTTTTGACTGCAGGTAGAGGTAAAACAGGAGCTGGTGAAATAGAAGTAGGAGAAGAAGTAATAGATGGAGGTGGAAGGTAAGAAGAAGAATAAGGAGGAGGAGCAGAGAGAAAATTATAGGTAGATTCATCAAAATAAGGAGGGAAACCAGGAGGAAAAAGAAAGGAAGGAGAGGAAGAGGAAGAAGAATGGAGATGGAGGGGAAAAATAGACTCATGGAAGAGGACATCTCTGGAGACAAAAATAGACTTATTTTTAAGGTTGTAAAGCTTGTACCCCTTTTTGCCAAAAGGATAACTAATAAAGACACAAGGGACAAGCCTAGGTTGAAATTTATCCCTATGACACTTGGGCACACTTGCATAATAAAGGCAACCAAAAGTTTTTAAATGACTATAAGAGGGTGCTTTGCCATAAAGAATTTCAAATGGGTATTTGTTAGATAAAACAGAGGAAGGAAATCTATTTATAAGATAAGTGGTTGTTAAAACACAATCCCCCCAAAATTTTGTTGGAAGTTTGGATTGGAACAATAAAGCTCTTGATGTTTCCAGCAAGTGTCTATATTTTCTTTCAACAACTCCATTCTGTTGTGGTGTATGAGGGCATGTAGTTTGGTGCATGATCCCATTATCAGAAAAGAATTGGCAGGCTAAGTTTAAAGAACCAAACTCGAAGGCATTATCACTTATGATTGTTTGTACATAAAGATTAAATTGTGTTTTGACCGTGGCAATAAAGGCTTTAAGTAAAGAAAAGGCATTGTTCTTGGAACTCATTAAATGTATCCAAGTTTCTCTACTAAAGTCATCTACAATTGTCAAAAAATATTTAGCACCAGAATAAGTTTGGGTATGATAAGGCCCCCATGTATCAATGTGAATAAGTTGAAAAAGAGAAGTAGAGCTGGATGTACTATTAGGAAAAGACAATCTAGCTTGTCTGGCCAAAGGACAGATAGAACAAATAAAAGACTGTTTAGTGGACAAATCAGAAGAAACAGAAGGTATACATTTTAATTTTGCAAAAGGAAGATGTCCCATTATATTATGCCAAATCATATCAAGATTATTCACATGTTGTACAGAATGAACAAAAGGAGCAGAGGGAATCACACTTTCATTTAGGCTACATACAGAAGTATTCAAATATGGAGGATTCAGAGTCTGCAAAGTATTATTCAGAGTATAGCTAGATATATTCTGCACAACATTATTCAAAGCAGAACCAGAAGGGGATGAAGTGGGAAGGTGATGAAGTTTGTATAGCCCTTGGTCCAGTCTACCAAGAACCAGAAGCTTCTTCCTGGAAAGGTCCTGTATCAAGCAGGAACAAGAAGTAAAAATGACTATACTATGAAACTGTTGAATCAGCCTATGTACAGAGATGCGATTGTACTTAAAAGTAGGTATGTAAAGTACTTGGTGCAAGACAAATGAAGAATTCAAAGTGAGTGACCCTGTGCATGTGACTTTTACTTTGTATCCATTAGGTAGAGTGACTAAGTAAGGAATAAGAAGTGGAGTAATGTCAAAAAGAAGTTCTTTAGTAGAGGTCATGTGATCAGTTGCTCCAGAATCTACTATCCAAACACTTCTAGCTACAGTAGTTAACATGCAAGAAGAATAAGAAGCAACACCATTAAACTCAGGCAAAGGAATATTACTACCAACAAAGTTAGTAGACCCCACAAAGTTGGGTTGAGGATTGGAATCAACAAGACTAGATTATTTCAGCAAAGTCAAGAGTTGGGAATACTGCTCCATGGTAAGACCAGGTATGCCAGAAACTGGACCATTGGAACCAGATGTTGTAGGAGAATTAGAGTTTTCAGAAGTGGAAGACTCATCATTTGCAACAGTCCCAAACCTTTTTCCCCTGGTAAACTTGAAACCTTGTGAAAATTCAATCAATTTATAACACTTATCAATTGTATGACCACTCTTTTTGCATTACTTGCAGAATAAGTCTTTGTTCTGATTAGAAACTAGCCTCTGATTAGGTGAGTCAAAATTGACCTTTTGAGTGTACTGCCTTTGGGACTGAAAATGGGGAGGAAACCTAGTAGGAGTAGTTGTATTTGCATTGAAAGATGCTAGGTCAGGTGTAAAATGAGTATTAGGAGTCATTTATCTCTACTTTTCATCTTGCAGAAGAATGTTATATACATTATCAAGTGAAGGGAGTGGATTCATCATGAGAATATTGCTTCTAACAGTTATATAAGTTTCATTCAGACCCATTAAGAATTGGTGAACTTTATTTTCTTCATCTTCCCTCAATAAACCCTCATTTGCAGCACAAATACATGTATTTGCATGATTTGAACCCATAGTCCCCAATTCATCCCATAGTTTCTTTAACTTGTTGGAATAAGAAGCTATAATAAGAGGTCACTGATACGTGGAAGCCATTTCCTTTTTTATTTCAAATTTCTTTGTTTCATTAGTAGTTCCATACCTATTGTTCAACTGTTTCTAGATGCTTTCAGCAGTATCAGAATATTGCACACTCTCAGTAATCTCAGGTGTGAGTGAGCTGGTTAGCTAGGATATAACCATGTTGTTACACCTGTCCCACTATTTAGACTCAGGAGAACCAGCAGTCGGCTTAGGAAAACTACCATCAATGAAAGCAATTTTATTCCTAGCCGACAAGGATACAATAATGCTCATTCTCCACCCACCAAAGCCACAACCAGAAAAAGGAACAACAACTAAGGTCATCCCAGGTATATCAGATGAAGGAAGGAATAATAGACTAGAAGCACGTGGTGTAAATTCAGAATCAGCAGTAGTACTACTAGACCCGTCAGTCATGATTGAAACTAGACGGAGCAACACCAGTAGAAATATACCACAGAATTTAACTTCAATCAACAATGCTCATCAACTAACAGAAGCAGTACTAGGAGAAATTTCTGAAGTTTCAAATGCAAAGTATTAGCAGAAGCAGTATAGAAAATAAAACGCGTTTACCAGCCTTCTTCGCAACCGGAGAAGAACGACCTTGAAAATAAATACACGACGTCACTGACGAGAACAATACACCGAACCAGGTAGAGTCACAAACCCTAGTTTAGAACCTTCTCTCGAAACCGGAGAATCTCGACAAAATAGACTAACAATCGGAGTGAAAACTCAACAAGGCAGAAAAATAACCACTATGAAACCAACAAATCTTCGCCGAAAACCTAGAAATCGACGATGTGGGTGAATCTCGGCGAAATCAGACCTGAACGGAATTGGACGAGAGTACCATCGATTGACTCGAGAGATGAAGTCTACAGTATTCCGGGCTCTGATACCATGTGAAGTTTCTATTTGTAGCAGAAATTAAAGAAGAAATTATACATTAGGGCTTGAGAGAAGAGAACACAAAGAGGAACGAACTGCTGAAATTTTATTCATCTTATGTAAAAATGAACTACTTGACTTCTGAAGGTTCTAGAGTATATATTTATATACAAGGGTAAAAGTGTAAAGAACTAATGCTAATATGTGGGCTGATCCGGGGGAGTGTGGTCTGCTAAGCCCCATACAAATAAATACACTTCACTTCAGCATAATCTATGTAATGCCAATACTACATATATGAAATAAACAGTCCCCTAAAAAGCACTTTTTATTAGCCAATACTTTTAAGAAGTTAGTGCCACCTTCTTTCGTTATTTTTATTATGAAGAGATCCAATTAGCTTGAATCCAACGTGTTGCCTTGTACTGATCTGGTTGAATGATGCAAGTACACACTAAAATTAATTGTAAAAATATTTCCATGTGTTACACATTCGTGAAGACTTAATAAGGAGCTCATTTCGAACCCTCAATTTTGTAATATTAAAGGCCTCATTATCTTCTGCCAGCGTTACATTTACTAACCTTTACATTTTATTTTGTTTTACCTATATAATAAGTGAAGTTTTTGGTGGTACGAAGGGCAATTCAGAAATATTTTGGTTTCTTAAAGGTATTGTAATTTGTTAATTTCTGTTCTAACACATTTATGTTGATGGGTGGTGTTTTGACATTTTTATTAGTGTGATTCCACTTTCTCTTTCTCTATGATCTTTTGAGTCCCAATAACCATTTTTCTGCCGCCTTCATCCTCTCATCTTCCTTTTCATCTTCTCCTCTTATTTCGTTGTTTTTCTCTTTGCGGTCTTGTTGGTTTTCTTCTCCTTCTTTTTTTCTTCTCTCATGTGGATCTTTACATATTTCTCTTTCTATCTATTGTTGACCAATGATTGGCTATTTGGATGGAAAAATAGTCTTTCCTAAGTTTGTAATCACTTGCTTTAGCTTTATTCTTTCTTTGAGGTACTATCTATTTAATTTTGTGCTCAAGAAATCTATTGTACTTGTGTTTTACTGCAGTAATTCATGCGCTCATTTCTTCCGCTATTTCTGATGCAATAATTTCCATCTTAAAAGTTCACTAGCACTGACAAAGCTGTGAATCTTCAAAGGGTCAACCTTCTGTGGTAAGAAATACTATCCAATTGGTTCTGCTAGCTTTTATTAGCTTTCTCTTCTGTCTTTTCCTTGCATCTGTTTTCCCCCATCATGGGACTTCAAATTCTTCAATGAGTCTGTATTACTTTTCTCATTTACTTAGATGTCTTTGCTGGATTCTCTACCTGCATATCTAATTTGGTTTGTGTGTTGTATATTACTGGAAGATGTCACTTGAAGCTTGAGTGTGATTCACTCCAATTCTTCTGCATGCAAGATTTTGTTGGTAAAAAATTGGGTATATTAACTCCGTAGGTAAAAGAAATTGGACAATAGGTGTCCGATAAATTTCTTGAAAGAAATAAGTTTTCGTTAAACTTCTAGATTTTGCTTCTTTTTGAAGTTTAAGTTTGTTTTTTATTTTCTTACGGTTGTACTATATCTGTCCATTCGAGAATTTCATTTTACAAAATGAATTTGAATTTCAGAAGTGTTATCACCAGAAAATAATTTGTACATAAAAGGAGAAATTACTGAACATGAAGTACATTTAAGTTTAGAACTAAATGTTTCTTATTTCCAGACATAATAATTCCTTTAATAACATTAAAATTAATGTTTATGTCCTCTTTACATTTGTGCATCTTCTTGAGCTTATAGTAATGTTTTCGTTTCTTCTTGATTTTTCAGTTTCATATCTCTTGTTGATTTCTTAGTCTCTGTAATTTTTTGTGGTTGCACTTGTGCTTCTTTGAGAAGAGATGAACTATAAGTATAAATCGGTTTCTTTTCTTAATATGTAAACTGTGTTTACTTCTAAATCACCTTACAGAGCAGATTTAGGTGAAGCACTTCTATTGCTTCCTTGTTCCACTTGATTATTGTTGTGTCCGTTTGATGTTAGAGAGTATATGGTCTAATTTGTCAATTTATTTTGCGCTTCTTTCTCTCTATGCGTCATTGTTTATCTTCATTTGCTAAATGTTGGAACCACTAATTATGTGTTTATAATGATAATGACAAAGCTCATCACAATATCTGCTTGAACTTTTGGCACTTTAAAAGGAAAAAATTAAATAAAGTGAAGAAATGACTTATCAATATCATTCAGGTAACATGCCTCAATTGAACTCAGCTCATAGAAAGGCTGTAACAACCCGACCGGTCATTTTGTGAATTAGCGTCCCGTTCGGTAGTCGAGTGTCATTTTGTGAATTAGGTCTCGAACAGCTTCGTATTATGTGTCATGACTTACGTGTGTAGTCGAGTTCAGTTTTTGGATGATTCAGGATCAATTTGGAAGAAGGATTCTTGTTTTAGAAGCTTAAGCGGTAAGACAACAACAACAACGATCCAGTGAAATCCCACTAGTGGGGTTTGGGGAGGTAGTGTGTACGCAGACCTTACCTGTCATGACCCAAACTCCCTCCGTATAACGTTGTGACATCACCTAGTCTCTATGACCAGGTAAGCCTAACAAATTGCGAAAAATAACGAAACGAAAATAAAACTTGGTAACTAACAGCAACGGATAACTGAGTAACTAGTAACAATGCCGCTCGGCATATACAATAACCAATACTCTATAACTATACAGTCTTCCAAAAATCTGAAACATCATGAGTCACAAGCTACAGAAAGAAAACTAGTATCTTTATACACCAGAATCTAACAAAGGAAGTACGGAAGGTAAATGACATAGGAGAGAATAAAGGGGGATTCCGAGATCTGCGGACGCGTCAGATGTACCTTGAAGTCTCCGTACAACAACAAACACTCTCAGCTAATAGCGGGACTGATAAGAAATAACTGGATCTACACACAAAAATATGTGCAGAAGAGTGGTATGAGTACACCACAATGGTACCAGTAAGTGCCAAGCCTAACCTTGGTCGAGTAGGACGAGGTCAGGTCAGGCCCACTGGTAAATAATAAATAAGGCAGGAGAATATACAGTATAATAAGAGACTGGAATTTAACAAAAGAAAACATAGCAAGGCAACAGTACAACACACATGGGTAAACAACAGGGGATCTCCCGAGATACCGTCTCGTAGTCCCAAAATAAATATGTAGGGAGAACTCCCAAGGTACCGCTCCGTAGTCTCAAAAGTAAATATACAGGGAGAACTCCCGAGGAACCGTCTCGTATTCTCAAAAGTAAATATGCAAGGAGAACTCCCGAGGAACCGTCTCGTAGTCTCAAAAGTAAATTTGCAGGGAGAATTCCCGAAGAACCGCCTCGTAATCTCAAAAGTAAACACACAACTCAAACCGATAAATACAAAAGTTAACAACAAGATTTCTACATTTATACTGATAAATAACAAGGAAAATTAGGGAATTAACTAGGCATGCTTCACAGAGTTCAGATAAGAAGTTAAAGCACGTAGACATGCGATATTAGACTAAACAGGATAACTACACATATTGGGATAACTCAATTAAGAATGAAAACACACTAATACTCATTTAAACGGTATAACTTAAATTAAAGGAAAAAAGGTTGCTACTCAGTAAAATAAATCAGGTTTTACAACAAATAGCCAGTGTACGTACTCGTCACCTCACGTACACGGCGCTCACATATCACATCAGTACCAAATCCTAAGGGGATTTCCCCCACACAAGGTTAGGCAAGCCACTTACCTCGAACCAAGCTCAAATCAATCCGTAACAGTGCTTTTTCCATGAATATCCGACTCCGAATGGCCCAAATCTAGCCAAAATCAATTACATATCATAAATATAACTATAAGAAACTAATCTATTTAATGAAATCAAAGCTAAAGGGAGAAATTAGAAAATTGCCCCAAAAGTCTCCCCGGGCCCACGTCTCGAAATCCGGTAGAAGTCACAAAATATGAATACCCATTCACTCACGAGTCCAACCATACAAAAATTATCCAAATCCGATGTCAAAATCTCAATCAAAACCAAAAAATCTTAGTTGAAGAACTTCTTCCCATTTTCCCCAAAATTTCAATCCAAATCCGAAATTAAATGATGAAATCAACCATAGATTAGCGGAATATAACCATAAAAGAGTTAAGAATCGTTATCCAAAAGCTTTCTATGAAAATCCCTCAAATAATCGCCCAATCGGAGCTCTAAAAGTCCAAAAATTGGAAATGAGAAATCAACCCTCGAAATCTTATTTTCTGCCCAGCAAACTCGTTCCTGTGAGCCTTCAACCGCAACTGCGGAAAACTCATCGCAGGTGCGAAAATGGATTAAACGGCTAGGACCGCATCTGCGAGCTTTGGGCTGCTCCTGCGACTTGACTTCTGCACCTGCGCTCACAGACCTTCTTGACCAACAGCGCACCTGCGCCCTTCACTCCGCACGTGCGATCCCGCACCTGTGGTTTCCCCACCGCAGGTGCGAAAAATACCAGAAACCAGAAGCTTCAGCCATTTACCTAAGTCCAAATTCAATCCGTTAAGCATTCGAAATATACCCGGAGTGCCCGGGACCTCAACCAAATATACCAACAAGTCCTAAAATACCATACGGACTTAGTCGAGCCCTCAAATCATATCAAATAAGGCTAAAGACACGAATCATCCTCCAATTCAAACTTAATGAACTTGAAACTTTAAATTTCTACAACTGATGCCGAAATCTATCAAACCATGTCCGATTGACACCAAATTTTGTACACAAGTCATATTCAACATTACAGACCTACTCCAACTTTCGGAATCGGATTTCGACTCTGATATCAAAAAGAGTCTACTACCGGTCAAAATCTCCAAAAGTTCGACTTTCGCCATTTCAAGCCTAAATGAGCTACAGATCTCCAAAACACAATCCGGACACGCCCCTAAGTCCAAAATCACCCAACGGAGCTAACGGAATTGACGAAACTCTATTCTAGAGTCGTCTTCACACAGTTTAGGAACTAAGTGTCCCAAAATACCCCCAAAACTAAAACAAAACCTCCCGGCAAGTCACATAAGCTGAAACAGATACGGAAAAAGTAGTAAATAGGGGATCGGGGCTAATACACTCAAAAAGACCGGCCGGTTCATTACATCCTTCCCTCTTAAAACAATCGTTCGTCCTCGAACGAGTATAGAGACATACCTAAAGTGATGAAAAGATGAGGATAACAGCTGCACATATCCTACTCGGTTTCCCAAGTCGCCTCCTCGACCGGCTGACCCCTCCACTGAACCTTCGCGGAAACAATGTTCTTTGACCTCAGCTTTCGAACCTGCCTGTCTAAAATAGCCACTAGCTCCTCAACGTAAGATAGATCTTTATCCAACTAGACTGAGGTGAAATCCAACACATGAGTCGGATCACCGTGATACTTCCGGAGCATAGAAACATGGAATACTGAATGGACCCCTGCAAGACTGGGAGGCAAGTCAAGCTCATAAGCAACCTCCCCAACACGTCGCAACACCTCAAATGGGCCGATGAACCTTGGGCTCCACTTGGCCTTCTTCCCGAACCTCATAACGCCCTTCATAGGCGAAACCCGAAGCAAGACCCGCTCTCTAACAATGAATGAAACATCCCGAACCTTCCGGTCCACATAACTCTTCTGTCTGGATTGGGTTGTGCGAAGTCGATCTTGAATCACCGTCACCTTATCCAGGACATCCTGAACCAAGTCCGTACCCAATAATCTAGCCTTGCCCGGCTTGAACTAACCCACTGGAGACCGATACTGCCTACCATACAGAGCCTCATACGGTGCCATCTGAATGCTCGACTGATAACTATTGTTGTAGGCAAACTCCGTAAGTGGCAAGAACTGATCCCAAGCACCCCCAAAAACTAACACACAAGCACGAAGCATATCCTCCAGTATCTGAATAGTGCGCTCGGACTGTCCGTCCGTTTGAGGGTGAAATGCTGTGCTTAGCTCAACCCGAGTACCCAACTCCTGCTGTACAGCCCTCCAGAACCGTGATGTAAACTGCGTACCCCGGTCAGAGATGATAGATATCGATATACCATGAAGCTGACAATCTCGCGGATATAAATTCGAGCCAACTGCTCGGAAGAATAGGTA